CTTGAACCCCAGATAAGAACGTCTCGATAATTACATTTGCTCATGACCTTGGTCGCCGCATGGTAAATGAAATGGTATGATTTGAGTGACGTTATTATGGCGTCATCGATGCCTGGGTAAACTTGAAAAGTCTCCTCTAAATAGTTTGCACATCTTCGGCGGGAGCTTATTTCGGAAACCAGAGTGGTTTAGGTCTCAAGAATGGCAGGGCTATGAACTGCACCGAACGATCTCCAAGATGGCTAATTCAGTTCAAAACCCCATACAAATGTGGAGCACTCTCTTTAAGTAAAAACACCACTACGCTAAAAGGGGACTGGCATGATTGGCTTCCCTGTAGTTTAACGTGCAAAGCCTAAAACATACGGCCTCTGCAGTTACATTTTCTCAGCCGTTCATACCCCACGGCACCTAGTCATGGACATTTCGGCATATGCCTTTGCTACGTTTTGATTCATAGGTCATCATTGGCTGTGCGGGAGCGGTGGCGCGATCCGCCGCGAAGACCGCCCGCCGACCAGCAACACAAATATGGAGAGAAGAGCCTTAAAATGGTCTGCATTCGCCAGAGGACCATCACTCACTTGCCAATAACAAAACGGGTCGTAAAAGTCCGCGATCCAGAGGCCATTTCGCCACCACCATAGTGTTTGAGCAGTTCCTTCCCCGAAGAGGGAGAACAAAGCCGCCAAGTGCCGTTAGTCGCGTGGGAGGGGCCGGGACGTGCTCAGGAGATCGGAATGGGAGCAGACAGAGACGGGGGCGGACAGTGTGGGGGGACCCTCGTTCAACAAACGGCATGCTTGCGTGACAAAAACAGCGTACCTCATGGCGACGCGGGGTGAGCAAGGGACCAAGCCGTTTATATTTGTTACAACCGTTAAAAAATGCATCCATCTCTCATCAAAACAAGCTGACGATAATGAGGCACGTACATGACGTCATGCTCAACGTACCTCACTTGGGCACTTGGGAGGGTAACGTTAACATGCCCGCTGGTTAGTAGACCCAGACATGCAAGAGTCTCGTCACATCTGTGATAGTGATGCCACGCATGTGGTGCCATCACACGCATACATGAGAGTGTTGTATCAAAGATCTTAACCCTCGCCGTGATAGGGAGTCGATGCCCCTCCCCCTTAGGTTTTTGGGGATACCGCCGTGGAGTGTTGTGTCATCACATCCAAATTTTCAGTTTTCTATAAGGCATCCATGACGGGTCCTTCCACACAGAAAACAAACCTGTTCGTGGCTTCCTGGAGCAATGGTGATTTTTCAGAACACTGCACGACGATGCCGCGGAACGCGCGCGGCGGGTCAACATCGCTATATTAACGGAGCCATTTATAAAAACATATGCTCCAAACACATGAAGGTATACACCACTGCACTCAGAATTAAACACGGAACATGTCTGTTTAGGTTTCATGTCGCCACAAGACACAGTCTCGTGCATGTAATGTAAAGTTGAAAAGTACGATTTTCTGGAAAATTCGAATTTTGACCTAGCATAGTGGGGAACAATATTAACCTAGCAACTTAAAAGATGGTAGAACTCGCGATATCTCGTTGAGACTCAATCCACTGGTGCTTTACTGCTGAGCTTTACACTGATTAGTTTGGGAACGCCAAGGGGTCGCCTCAACCCCCTATTAGTCACCGTTATCAAAAACAGTAAATCAGGGGGAGGGCAAGACGCATGACTGTGTGACTGTGTGATTGCACGTAGCCTGTGTGAGGCCTGAGGACAGGGGTAAGGGCGAGAGCGAGAGAGGAAGTAAAAGAACGAGAGAGGCGGCGAGTGGGTGAGAGAGATTGGCGGACGGACAGACAGACAGACATACGGACAGACAGGCATACGGATGGACAGACAGGCAGACGGGCAGACTGGTCGACAGACAGACAGACAGACAGAAAGACGGGCAGACTGATCGACAGACAGTCAGACAGACACAAAGGTACAGACGGGCAGACGGATAGACGGGCGGACGGACGGGCGGACAAACATGCAGACGCAGAGACGGATGGATGAGCATGCGTGCAAAAAGGCAGACGGGGAGATGAACAGACGGACGGACGGACAGGGGTATGGATGGATAGCTGGCACAGAGAGGAGCGGCGCCACGCTGGTCGATGTGTGAACAGTATCAGACTCAGAGTCAGAAGAGTTGAACTGGAGAGTCAAAACTGGATCCTTGTCGCCGATCACAGACATCCGGAGTTGTAATTTTCCCGCCTGTTAAGGTATTTGACCCTGCTATATCAAAGAGTGCTCGCCATTCACGTCAATGCTCCGCAGTCTTTGGGCATCCTGCCGACGTAATTAGTTCCAGAAGCTCCCACCAGAGGGGCTGCTAACGGCGTCCGTAAATTCGCGTCGCGCGCTGTCGCAGCGTTCAGCAGGGACCTGCTCCGGAGTTACGGGCCGGCCGGGTATCGGGGCCTGACGTGACCCGCCCGCTGACCTTTGACCTGCACAGGCGGTGTCAGCCGTCAGAGGCCGGGGGACGGCCCAGCGGCTCGGGAACGTCCGCCCTGAATTGTATGCGACTTCGGCTGGCATGTGAATGGCTCCTGAGGTTCCACTGCGACCGTCATCCAGAGCACTCCGAACGCGACATTAGCTTAAAGTGAGCTTAAAGTGAGCCGCCTCGCCTCGACGGTGCGGTCCGTTATGTTAATAACGGTTGGATTTCTGGTAAACGTTGAGCGGGGCACATCGAAAGTTGCACGCATTTAACAACTATATCGGGAGATAGTGTGAAGGAGGAGAGAGAGAGAGAGAGATATCGGGAGGGAGGAAGAGAGAGAGTGAGAGGAGGGGGTTAGCACACACACACACACACACACACACACTGACACACACACTGACACACACACACTGACACACACACACACACACACACACACACACACACACACACACACACACACACACACACACACACACACACACACACACACACACACACACACACACACACACACACACACACACACACACACACACACACACACACACACACACACACACACACACACACACACACACACACACACACACACACACACACACACACACACACACACACACACACACACACACACACACACACACACACACAGCTTTACTTGTTCCGTGGGGCAATGCACTCGCCTACGCTCGGCTCTGCACTCTGGGCTAACAATCACCCATTCTGATAACACGCACGCAGAGCGAATAAGTGTTTAACGTATGGCTGGTAGCGTTGATAGGTCTATTCTGACCATGATGGAAACTCCCATGGCTATGTTTTCCTGCTTGTCGTGGAAAAACACTCGTCTTTAGTGAAGCAAAAAATCGACGGCGACTGCTTCTCGCTCTTCCCGGCCGAGTCCTGTTGTTTTATTCCGTCGATCCTCTGAACGGTAAAGCACTGCAAGATCATGAGCAACGTGATGCTAGCGTAAATGGGGCGCAAATCCACGACTACCACTCGCGATTCCTGAGCAAGATATGTCATCACCTCTGCCCCGCCTGGCGGCAAAGCGTTGTTAAGGTGTAGGGGAGCATGCAAGGAACTGCGAGGAACGGTGGGATTGGGTGATCAAAACTCAACATCGACGTGGACACGTTTGAAGCCAATGGCCAGAGATAGCATGCATACGTCAAGAAACTATTGAAACGTTATCGAGTAGACCAGATCCAGTTCTTTTAAGGCCAAGTTGTTGCGGTGCCAGATTAGCAAAATATCGATTAAATTGGATGCGGAGAAGTGCCAGCGTACTTCGCGCAACCGTGTCAGTGTCTGGTAGAAAATGATTGGCGTAAAACCCTAGCTTAAGCATCATTGCCACTACTGTAGTTCCTATCTGATTGATTTGAAAAGATGATTTGAGAAGAGTTCTCCATATTTGTATCAGATTTTTAAACTATACTAGACATCATAGAGACCGTTCGGTAAGCCCACTGCCCTGCCCTTTTTAAGGCTTAAAACCCTTAGCTTATGCCCCACACACCCGCAAAGATGCGCGGATTATTTCGTGCAGGTCATTTCAAGGTCACTTGGACATCAACGGTACACAAATATCATTCATTCCTGTCACCCATGCCGGGTACGAAGTTCAGTAGAGAACACAGTAGTATGAAACAGTACACTAGATGTATGCTACATTTCTAGTCCATACTGAATGTTTGGTAGCCGGTAACTGAAGGTAGCATTGCGCAGGTGCCACAATAGCGAAGGTACTTAAAGTATTAATGAATGCGGTGCTCAGAGTTTTTTTAGAAAAAAAACCTTCACAGAGCTGTACACGTAATAATATTGACAGCGTGTTTTGGTTGAGACCATACAATTAAAAATATTGTATTAGGAACACGTAGAAAAGCTCGGAACGCCCCGTTTTGAGCCCACTGTAGAACTGTGCTTATAAATCCACCAAGTTAACGATTGAGCTACTGGGACCACCGGATTCATTTTAAAAGTCGGAAGATTCACGGCGTACCGTACAAGAAAACTTTGACCCGGTACGCCGTGCGAGTTTGGCTTTTCTAGACACAAAATAGTGAATCGATCGGCTCAGGACAATTAAACACTCTTTCGTTGGGTGCCAAGTTCGCCAAAATTAGCTCAACAGAATTCGATCCACAGCGCTGTGAAAAGCAGACCTTCAAAACATGAAACCTACTGGAGAGTAGGAAACGCACGCCGTGGCGCGGTTTTGCCACCAAGATACTTCGGTTTTGCCACCTTCGATACTTCGGTTTTGCCAGCAAGATGCTTTGGTGGGGGCTGCATCAGACATGCGGCGTTCAAGGCCAAGAACGTTACAATTGTCAAGTCGTTCATGTCTGGCATTATTGAGTACGGTTTACAGATGTAACAGACTTCAACTGGCTTTCGATCATCGTTGTGCAGGCAGTGCACAACGATGATCAAGAATCACGTTTTGCGCTACATAATGGGTACGACATGGGTACTTGACAATACGAAAAGAACACCTGCAATTCCCGCAATCAAGAAAACTTAAGAATAGCGTCATAACCGGGCATGTGAATGCAATAAACGCATTAAACTCGCGGATAAATATACAAGAACGAGGGAGGGTCAAAATAGGAGCACCTAACAATGTCTACTCCAGCAAACACGTCCAGCACCGCCACTGCCATCTCTCGGCGAGTTGAAGAACTACGGGTGAGTGCTAGGGTGACCATTTCGTGCGGCCAGTTTGGCAACACCTTTAATGTCATACAAACTTCCCATCACGCAATCAAAGAATACATATTCAAGATCACAGTTGCTAAATTGAAAAGATCTGCTGTCTAGAGCGGTATTCTCTACTTAAAGTATAGCCAGAGTCCTGGGGTCTGCTTTCATATCAACAAGTGCGCAACATTACCTTAAGTTAGGGCTGTTGCTGATTCATCAGACCTGCATTGTGGGTACAAACGGATGAACTGAACGGTTTAACGTCGTCATCACAAAACACTGTCGGAGTTTGAGCTCCCTTTTATGAGGCACTCGAATTGTTCGGGATATCGGTCAGAGGTCAGCCTAATTTCGATGAAATGTGCTTCGAGGAAGGGAATGTTCCACCAATCCTGACCTTGTATTATACGTTTATCAGGTGCGTGCGTTGTTGGTCGTCGCAGGTGCGTAATCCGCAGTATTGTTATCAAATGACAGGATCATGGGGCAATGTGTTTCGAGGATGTTAATCCCCGATGTCGTGGATGATAAAAGACCAATAAGGATAAAATATTGTAATTCAAATGGCAGGTAGAGCATTTGCTGCCACAAAAGAGTATAGTGACGCGCATTCACTGCCCCTGGAAGGAGACTATTTCGCGAGAGCAGATTACGCGTGCAACTATGGAGTCAAGAACCGCTGGAATGATTTTGAAAACAGGCGTGAACGAGAGACGTTCAATCTTCATGGAGCCAGCCTTCTTGTACACAAATAACCCGTTCAGTGGGCTTCTTTTATTAGCAGCTTATTTTAAGTCAACGTGTTTTCTGTGCGTTCACTAAAGCCAGCACCAACACCCGCTATTATTGAAACACGCGGTTTGAACGGAAAAAAGAACCAGTGCTTTCTGCTGAAGGTTAAAAAAACAAAAATGGCGGATGAATACCGTACAAGAGTGAACTCAATGCGCATGATATTCTCTCAAGGATTAGCCACCAATCCAGCAAACAAGGTAATTTTTTCACGCTTGTGGTAGAGGAAGACGAAAAATGGTCTGTCTGCAGTGAATTTCACGGGCCCCGAATATTTGATAACGACCACTCCAGCCGCCGCTGCCGTTGTACCATTCTCGTTCACTTCCATTACCGCCTTGTGGATGATGTTGCTGACGAAGATGTTTCGCGACGTTATGCCGCCGAACTCCGCATTCCTTTGGAAAATCCTCCGGATGCCTAGGCTCCGCATGTGGGCGGGCAGCTCATAGCGACGCTCGATCTTGAAGGGCGGCATCAGTACACGGACTGTCTGCTGACTCATTTGGCTGTATAACCGGGACACGTCCAAGCCGTCCAGGGACTTCTGCAGCCTGGCCACTGCAACCAGCGAGCGACTGTGCGGGCGCAGCACTAGCAAACTGTAATCTTTGTTTTGGTACGGCAATGATACTACATCGAAGTGTGGTCGGCTGGTGTAGCCAAGCTCCGCCTTCAGCTTCATCATGTTTGTCGGCCGATCGCCGCGCGGTGTCAAAAACGGCTTCTGTCCGGCCTTGTCAAAGCGATAAAGCCAGGTGCCCTTAAAATACACGGCGCTGAAGAGCACCAGTTCAGCGTTGCTGAGGTCATCACTTGTAACCAGGTCCTTGATGTGTCCGCGCGTTGCCGCCGACGCCTGGTTGTTGATGACCTCAGCGGCCTTCCCGGCGTCTCTTGGTAGCACCTCCACTTCGGCTCCGTAGTAGCGCGCTAAAAGGTCGCTGAAGGTGCGGCGCACACTGAAGCTGTGCTTGCGATAGATCCTGTTGTATACTGACGTCGTGACGCCTTTGCTGGCTCCAGACAGGACCGCCAAGGCCGAGCGGTAGCCATGGAGGAACGATGTGTCTTTTGGGCCGGACATTCCCAGCACAGGCGTCATCTGTGTGCAGCACACAGACAAACGTTGTCATATCTCCCCTCCGCATGTAATCAATAAAGATCACGGTGCGGTGAGTTACGCTGTGTGTCTTGCGATAAGTTAACGCATGAGACCGGGTCTGGTGGCATATGCACTGGTTCCGGATTGGCATATGTGCCCGGAACCCGTGCAGATGGTAGGCCTTAATGGAGATCAGCCAACTGGTCTCTCACCTCGGCTCTGGTGGCACCTCTGGCGCCCAGCCAGACCTGCGACATCAGCAGCGACATCAGGAACGGTGAGATCACGTGGTTGGCCACCGGACCCGACGTCACCTCCTTCAGCAGCTTCATGTCCAGGTCAGTGGGCACACAGGCGCCTCCCAGCGTGGCCAACAGCAGGAGTGGCGCCAGCCAGGCTCCTGAAAAGGCGAATCATCTCGCGTCGCATAGAAACTCACACAAGTCTTGTTTCTTTTGGGATCTCGGTAAATTCGCGAAGATTGGCACTACCACAAGTGCATGACGTTCCAGCGTGTTGCGTGTAACATCGCCTCTCGTCTGGTTTGTTGCCGATCAATAACGCAAAGATCCTGAGTACATGAGCTCTGCATCAATACAAGTTCCTTGATGTAGATCAGCTCAAGTTTAAAATCCTCTGTATGCGACGCCCTGTCTATTTTAAGGCCCGAAAATTCAGTTTTTCCCACTTCCCAGTTTTTCAAATAGCCCGCATAGTAACATGCGTCAACCCAAATTCCGACAGCATTTGAACTGCAAGGTAAAATGCAGCAATAAAAAGACCATTCTCACTTGGGTTTGAAACTGGTTTGGCGTGTGCAAAATTGCTTTTCCGACAAATGCGTAGGGGGTTGAGAAATACCCTCTATATTTTTGAGCCCCTTTCCTTTCTTAGGAGTTCTCCGTCTACGCTGCAACAATTCTCCAAAACGCCGGCCTTATGTAGGATCATGAAAGGCAAGACAGCAGTAGTGATATATTGATCACGGCAGTTTTTCTTAAACGGTTTTATAACCCAGGACAAAGTGTATAGTCTACGATATTGCAGATTGTGTTTCAGTTACTGGAGTTGAACAGTAAGTTGTTCATTGCCTTCGCGAGGAACATCCGCTGAGTTCGATCTGAGCAGTATTTCGTGACCACACATTCATTCCATACATGAACGATTTTAACGGTCCGAGTGATAGAAACGAGCCAGATCCAACAGGCCCAGCATATGTTAATCTTCATTGTAATAGTCCGTGACTGATGGTGGTTTCGTACTTATGGAAGATCCAGAATTATCCATTGGCGCGTTACTGACACCCGAGCTCCGCTCGATCAGCGTCAACCAGCTCTCACCTGCATTGCGTCTCATGATGTCCTCGTAGTGTTGAGTGGGAGTAGAGCGAACTCGGTTACTTAAGATTGTAGTTGACGTCCGGTTTGGCTCACTTTTAGTAGTGACGAAGCGATGAAGCCAGAATCTGTGGGATATGAGATATAGCGCAGTTAAACTTGGATGGATGGCGCTAACTCACTGAAACTTGGATCAGTAGCATGGCCTTTTACCTTAGATCGACAGGCTAATAGCACCCTATCTCTCGCATTTTGACCTCATCTCATCTAAAAGAAAAATGGTGATACTTTGAGCTCGGTCTTTTTTCGGTCAGCCCCCAGGCCAATTTTTGCGCTTCCATAAACCCTACTCTTGGTCGACATGGGACCCCCTGCCAACACGAGAACCTCTGGTAAGCATTCTAGGCCCCTGATGATGATGATGACTTGGGCTTTGGAGCACACCAACTACGTTGGTCATATGGCGCCCATAACCTACTTTGTATCTAATAGATGCCTGAAAAATTCGGAGAGATAAGGCTATGTCCGATATATGGCATGGAATTGTACGTCTTCAAGACAACTAAAAATGTGACCGTCATTTACTGCACTGTAGGTCTCCGATAGATGCAGGGGCCCCAGCTTGGTCACTGTTCGTTCTCAAAGTGGGCTCTTATCCCCATACCACCACAGGCGCCGACTGTGCGGCACTGTTGGTGCCAAAATCAGATACCAGTGCAAGTGCAGGTGTCAGTGCCAGTGTCAGTGCCAAACAAGGTACCAGACCCAAATCGACCCAGGGGTCTCCGAACGGCGCGAACGATCCGCTGACTGCCATCCGAGGGCCCGCCCCCGCACGTCGGGTCCCTGAAGACCCTGTCTAGCCTTCGTGCCCTTAGGCCTTCTGATCGGATCTTTGATCAGTCGGCCCGGTGGGCTCTTCTGGACTCTCGGAAGTCGGAACCTAAGGAGGGGGGGGCGGGGGTGCTCCTTGTACCCCATCCCTTTCTGCATGCGCCACTGACGCTACATTTGGCTTAATTTTACATGACATGAATTCCTTACCCAGAAATGATAACACAGATATGATAGAAAATGCGAAGTTTTCAAGCATCAATATTCTACTTTTTCCTAAACGCAAACCGCCACCCGGGAGCCGGAACATCAGTTGTTCTTCCTGCGGGCAGTAGATTGGAAGGGCAGACCTTCTACACCCAACTTCGGACAACACTGAACATTTGAGCATTGAACAACAGCTCTTGGGCGTTATATGGAGGGAAACGAGGTACAAGTCATTACCGCACAAATCGCAGGTCCCAATCGAGTGTCCCCCTATCTTCTCCTTAAATATTCCACCGCTACTGCTTCTTTGCGAGACGAAGATCGCACTGTACCTACAACACACTGCATAACACATGCCTGCCTTCACCACGATGAAATGGCTGAAGATTCCAAACAGCATTTCCTACGATGTTTTCAACACTGAATGCAATTTTCGCTGACTAGTCAACTCTCAACCAACAACAACCAACTTATATCCGTTGATGTCAGAAATCGTTCTGACGTACGCCAGACACTAATAATTTGGTGAACATGTTTTGCCCGATCTTGATCACTATGTGGCAATGAGGCGGGGGTATTCGTGCGTTATGGATGACTGGGTGGCCACCTATGTTCGGGATCAGGTCATTGGCAACTAGCCAGAAAACAAGACGGTTTAAAGTCTTAAAAATGGTAGGGAATGTGAACCGCATTGGATGACCTCTAAAATGTGATTTCAAAATAAAACGGTATTTCAAAATTCCGTACAAATGTGGCGCACTCCTTTTCATGCTACCACAACCGACATGCTACCACAACCGGCATGCTACCACAACCGATAGCAAAACAATTTGCATTTTTACATCACCTAATAAAGCATCTAGAAGCGTATGACTTAAACCTACTCACCCGAAGCGACACTGTTCACCGTCCAATAACACGCAAAGCTTTGACTGTTAACCCTCGTTGACGCCTCGCGGCATACACTTCGATGCGTCATCCTCGTGACCTGTTGACCCCCGACCCGTCCGTCACTGGCAACGGTGGGCGTGCGGTGACAGGCTGTGGTCTGATTCATATACCCTATACTCTAACAGGCTGGGCTGCAGGGGTTTTACCAAATTAGGCTGCCTTGAAATCGCTACCAGTTTCATGATCTCACTCTTAAATTTCAATGAATCATTGTGGTAATTAGACAACTACAATGAAATATTCTTAAGACTGGTTAAGTACCGGTTTAATCACTGATAAAGTATTACAGCCTAAACTAACATATTGACAGGATAGCATCCTCGATAGTCTAAGAATGCCACTAAATGTGGCAATTTATACATTTCTGGTGCCCGGGAGATATCACAAACGTGCACTGGCTATGCACGCAACTTATGTATTTTACCCCGTTGATTGTTCATCACTCTCGCCGAATAATTGCGTCCAGATACCTACCATCCCGGGTTTGTGTAATCGTCTTGCCTGAATCGCGTCGTAAAGACCCCAATAAGCAAACATATTTTTAAAGTTTTTGCACCTTTGTTAAATTAAAATTTGTAATGACAGGTTGAGTTTGGTATGCATTCCAACATGATTTGCTCTCATGTACATCCCGCTCTTCCAGTTCGATATTACCCATGCATTGAACCTTACAACAATATCAAAGCAAGCTCGTTTGCGCAGGACCAGACTGTCCAATGATCGACGGCGCAGAATGGGGGAAGGGGTGCTGAGCAGCGCAAAATGACTCAGCCCGCTCCCCTGGGCTGACACATGTTTACGGCGGGCTGGTCGAAGGGGAACCCCACGTGCAGTAATGTCAAAACAAACCATCCGCCAGCGCGGTGTGTGTGGCCGTGCGACATTTATGACCAGGCGGCTGGCCGCATTCGAATGCATGTTAAACTAGCATTTGAGAACCTGACGCCACAAGCGTTCGACATTTAATGAGTCTCCTCGAACGCCGCCACGACAAGTCTGAGGAGGCCCGCGCGCCACGCATATATTTTTTTCGTACATGCGTATCCTAGCAACCGTTGTCAGCGGTGTTAGAAATACTGCTGACCGAAATGGCCCAGCTATTGATGTTCCGGCAAAATGTTTTACCTTACCAAATATCAGAAGTGACGAGCAACATCTTTATTAGTATCATTTTGTAGGTACATTTATATTTGCTGTAGCTCAACAACTGGCTTTCAAGAACAACGAGAAACAAGGTTTTGGAGCAGGAAAGCTGAGGCTACTAAAACCTACACTGTCGAGCATACACTGAATGAAATGCAGCAAAAATGCAGCGAAATGAAGCGAAACTTTCCCAAATATTTTGCGCTTTGCTTCTTTCTCTTATTTCTATGCCTTCTTTCTGTAAGTAGTTTGGACGTCAACAGGACCGACCCATGGTCATAAGACCGCCGCGTGGTCCAGGGCATTGAGATTGCATTTCGTTGAGGACCTCGACTTCTCGGACCGAGGACAAATCGCAGCTGAACGAACGGTCTTACGCCCCGCACCCTTCTCTTTCTCCCACTTCCACCTAACTCTGCCGTAAAGACGCGAATCCCTACAAAGAAACACGTTATGCTGATGGAAAATACCGCGGAATGCAAGGCTCTCTTGAAGAGTTTTGGACGATGCGTTATCTTTGATCTCATTTCCAATTTTTGAATCCATTTTTCCACTCAGTCCTTAGATACCGAAGAAAGGCATAAATGCATAGGAAACGAAATGTACTCTTATAAATGTACCCAAGATACCCACATAATGAGAGAATGTGCATGTAATTTAGCGATGGAAGGAATGGGCATTTATACCCAGATTTAGACTCAGTCGCGTTCATTTAGTATATTCAAACCTCATGATATTTACCGTACCGCATGTTGGTCAATCCTGTGCTCAATGCTTTGCTCAACAAAGTTGTCAAAACTAGAGCTTTGCTGTGAATCTACAACCACTAAAAATTACTGGTCATTGCTCACGTTCCTGGGTATCCGTTCTGAAAGCAACGGGACTTAAAGCATATTATACAGACGCCTACATGACTAGTTTATTCCATGTCGCAACTAGTATAAAGAACGATGTACAACCGGAACCCCGGACGATCCCACGAGAAAGCTCAATGCGCGGGGTCCGAATTGGAGCAGACAGGTCTCGCGCTACGTCACCTAGCACCTCCTATCATTTCTTGGAACCCCGTCCGCTGTACTCATTTATTGGAATAGCCTGTAAAAGAGGTGGTGCACTGTACCTGACGTCATTGACTTCTTGTGGCAATGGTACAGTGGTCTTCGTACAATAATCGCGGCTAAACACTCGAAGGCCTACAAATCGTGGATGATGATATGAACGAAATTATCAGCTTCAACATGCCATGCAAGTGTATTCAGATCGACAGAACACACCTTAGCAGACACGAAACGACGACAGTTTAGGCACATTCCGCCTAAAACAGACATAGCACATTCCGTCCAAAGGACTTCTCACAGACACAGAAAAACAACATTCGCAAGTTGTCCGAGGGATTTATGCAGCGCCAAAAAGGAAACTGCACAAAGCACAGCGTACAGGTTCTCGTCCGCAGGCGAGCACGTCATCGTGAAGCCATGTCTTGCACACTTCCCCAAGCACATTTAGACTTAAATGCGTGCCATCACCTCAAACTCAGTATTTAGAACGACTAGAAAGGCCTCAAATGGTAATGCCTCACTAAGCCTAAGCTTGTAGCTACAGGCATTTACCGAAAGGCCGGGCTATTTGCACAAGGCATCTGATGAACATGCAATGATCATAACACTGAACTGAGAGAAAACAGTCTGCATGAGAACATTTCTATGGTGTGTTGTCTGTTTACTACCCAACTTGCCGTTCCATGACCCCAACTTGACATAACATGTTCCGCGACACGGCGCTCAATTTTGCTCCACGTAGTCCTGCGGACTGTGCGGCGCGCCAGTCAGTCAAGAATGTCGATAGCGCCTTGTCCCTATGTCGGGTCATGCTTGGGGTGATCTTCCAGATCTTGAAGAATGACCTTATGCATCTTGCCTAGGAGATCCGACATGGTGTAGTGCGCGCCGGCCGTTGGGTTAGCCACAGGCGATGGGGTTGGGGGGGAGGGGGGCGCTGCGGACCACTGCGGGCGCCGACAAGTCAAACGGTCTGGCGTAACGGGGGATCCACAAAGTCATTGCCATCGCTGCCGTCATCGACTCGGTCCCTTGGGTTTTCCGTGAAGGGCTGAAGGGCTTGCGTCTCGACGGCCTTCCTGGAAGGTCCTGGCGTCGGCTCTATGGCGGGGCTGGCCTCCGCCCCAGGGTAGAAACCATCCAGATGGTGTATTACGCCGTCCTGCCAAGAAAGGACAGTCCAATTATCCTTTGAAAATCCGTTGATTTCATTAGAAGAAGGTGCATGCGTCATCCCAAAGCTATGCGCAATCTACAGAAACGACTGACTTTATCATGGCTGACTTGGGATCTGACCAACTATTTCAGCGTGATCTGTTTTTAAGTTATGCTTTTCTTTTAATTTCATTGCCCTGAAAACGTCTAAGTCCCCTACAGTTTCTCAACATGTTTCGAACTATCATAACCATCCGCTGCAAGTATTCCTTGCAAAACATAGTGCAGCTTATGTGAGGCACGCGGACGGTGGAACAATAACCAGAATGTTGATGTCCTGTAGCAAATCATCTTGAAAAATTGCACTCGGCACAGAACTTCAAAACCTTTCATCATAGCCGTCATATTTTGGGCAATCCTTTCCACAGACGGGGTTTCCGGTGCTAGGATATGGGAGCGGGATGTACTACTATACTGATGCTCCTGGGACATGTATTTCTAACCCCATGCTTGGTTGTGGTTATCAAGATCTTTTGGCTTGGCCATCTGTATGTCCTGTAGCCATAACCTTTAGTAACAGGCATCAGGCAATACAATGTGGTAGCTGGAATGATTGTTTATTTTTGGTGTCTGCTGTCAGCGTCTGCACAGATTTGGAAAGATTCCTGTTTTACTCTCTACTATTCAATGGTTACATCTAAGTTGTAAATAGGCATGTGAGACCACAAGTATTCCTTCGAAAGAATGTTAAAAGCATGCTGGAGCCATGAGCATGGCAAGCTTGAGTTTGTTGTGAATCAAGGCCAGAACACTACTTCATAGCAGTCAGTGATATTTGATTATTTGAGCACACAGGTCGAAATTATGAAATACAGATGTCATAACTGCTTGTGCTCAGTTAAAATGATCAGCAGAAATTCAATGCACTATGCTTCTTGAAAAATATAAATGTTGGAGAGTAGTCATGCTATATTCTATCTCATTGCACATATATTCAACTAGGTATTTGTGAGAGAATTATTCAAATGTAACACATGATAACATCAATATAAACCCGGATTGCACAAAACACACATAACATTTGACATGTCGGGGTAATGGTAGATTATGTACAGCAAAGCAGTGACATGGGAACAATTTCAGCACATACCCTCTAAATCCAACAGCTCATAGTTTAGCACACAGGTGCCACCAACTCCAATGGTAAGAGAGACAATGTTTTAAGCAATTATGATATCACCAAGGTAGTTTCAGGTAGACATATGCCGAAAAATATTTTTACACACCAATAATTTGAAAATTCAGTGTGATTTGACCTGACCAGAGTTTTACATTCCAATGTGAAAATCCAAACGCGGATGTCTTGTAGGTCTCCAGCGAAACGGATTATTTTTTTTCTGCCTGGATGCAGACATTTTGTGTTATGATGGGTTCAGTTAGCAAACCTATGTGTCACTTCCTATCACTGATATTTGTACACTTCTTTGCTAAATTCACTAGCGGATTGATTAAAATAGTCAATTTCCGTCAAAACAGCAGTATTTCAAAAAAAGGAACACTACTGTTTTACAATATAATGTACCACAAAGTATGAACAAAATAACTGGGTATGCACTTAAAATTCCGTGCCGTTATACACATGGCCAATACAAATGTTACGACTCACAATAACTGTTTAAAACCAGACCCACTCTAGCTGATTACACCCAAAACTTACCTCTGTGAGCAAGACCAGAATGCAGGGCCTGTCCCACGCAGCGATGATCAGTCAATAGCAGCACAAGTAAAACCAGAGAAAGACCCACACAAAATGCAGACATCCCGCGCCCTATAATAATGCTGTGATGCCAAAGTCCAACCTAGGTTTAGAAACGCGTTT